ATTTTAAAATATTTTATTTATTTATCAATACTTTGGGGTTTTTTTGTTGTTTTTATTATATTTGGAGACTGGAACTCATTAACTTGCAAAGGCTGGCCTTGAACTCAGAACCTTCCTGCTGCAGCTGCCTGAAAATTCTAGAAGGCATGTGTGTGTGTGTATGTGCACGTGTACGTGTGTGCATGATTTAGTAACTTCACCTTTGAGAATTTACCAAAAAAAAAATTTTTTTTTAAAGTAATATTACATCTTTCTATATATGGTCATAGCAGCACCACAATAGTAAAGAATACAGGCAACTAAAATTCTCAATAATAGAGGCATAACTGACTAATCTACTAAGTAAAATAATAAGCAGCTATTAAAATCTGAAAAGATTAGCCATCTGGAAAAATGTTATATTAAGAAAAAATACATACATATAAATAAGAGAAATACAAATTAAAACAGCAATGAGATACCCTTTCATATTTATCAGATTGTGAAAGTCCAAATGCATGTCAGTAAGGCAGGCAGAAGTGCAAGAGTATAATCCTTCAGAGGGGAACCGGCATTACACAGTAAAATTTACACATGTTTATTTGTAGATCCAAGAATCCTAAATATAAACTGGAAAAAACTGTAAGCTATTCTTTAAAGCACTACTACTTTTAACAGCAACAGCAAAATACCAGAACATCTCAAATGTCACCAGTAATAGACTGACTGATTACAGTGCATCCATTCAAAGCAGTAATATAACTGGGATGAAAGAGATAAAAACGGAATAATGAAGTTCTGTATTTATTGCTGTGGGAGTGACCTCCAGGATACACTAAAAAATGTGATAATATAGAGTATGCTGTTTTTTGTTTAAGAAAGTGCGGAAATAAGCATTTACATACAGATTTGCTTCTATTTTCAAAACAAAACAAAAACAATGGAAGGCTAAACCAAAAACTAATAAAATGATTCTGTAAAGTAGAAGGAGAATACAGAGGAAAGGTCAAAAACTGAAATCAGATTTTTGTATATGTGCCTTGAAAACAAGGTACATAATATAACAAAAATTAAAATAAAGTCATCCCCTCAAAAAAGAAACAAACAAAAAAATAACCTGTGTGTGCAGTTGATAACTTAACAATACACAGAATTAGTTTAAGTGACACATTATTAAAGACATCATCATCATCAAAAAAAAGCTTTCAAAGAAATCTTAAAAAGTGTATTTGTTAGTCACATGTTTAGTAGCATTGTTAGTTATTTTGATATAATAATTTATGCGTATTTGGATATATAAAATGATATACAGTATTTATATTTGCATCTCTTAGGCTGAAAATCAGCAGGTTTTATTTTATCCTTTAGGACATATATCAGTGATATACTTAAAAATAATATGTAAGGGCCGAGGATTTAGCTCAGAAGTTCTGGCGCCTGCCTTGCAAGCACAAGGTCCAGAGTTCAATCCCCAGTATCCTTCCCCCCCAAAGTAAGATAATCCTGTTATTTTAAGTATTGTATAATTTTAATGGCTTTCTTTCATTAATATTTCATTTCTTACGAATCTTCACGTTCATGAACTCACTATTTATCTTTTATGTTCTACAGAAATACTTATTTATTTAGTTTACTCAAGCCTAGAAATAATGACAACCTTTAACAATGATCTTTTCACCTCCTTTAACACTATTCTCTATAAAAAAGAATCAAACCCTGGAGAAACAGTTAATTCTTGAGCTAGGTTGGAAAATACTATATACAAGGTAAGCTTGATAATCATGTCATATTAAAAAGGTGGGAAGCTCTGAAAAACTATCACGAAATATAACCAAGTGTGTACACAGGTACAAACTTTAACAAATTCCCATTGGTCAGGGACAATTTGAATGTCAAAAGCAGACTAAAATGGAATGAAATATGACATATATTAAAAACTCAATTTTCTAATGACACTAAAAAAATTCACTCTGGTCTCTTTTTTTTTTTTTTGGTACTGGGGATCAAACTCACTCTGGTCTCCTTTTGAGTTTGTTAGGAAACCACATCATACAGACTGAAAAAATAACTGAAAAGAAAAAGAAGCATTTATCTTGCCCCTCTTCCTTCCCTTTCTCTTCCTTCTCTTTTTGCAGTACTGGGGATTGAACACAGGGGCCTTCACACTTAACTACATTCCCAGCCTTTTTTTTTTTTTGGTACCAGGGATCAAACTCAGGACCTTGCGCGTGTGAGGCAGGCGAGGTGCCACTGAGCTAAAAATCCCTGGCCCTGTTAATATTTTACTTTGAAGTAGGGTCTTGCTAGTCCATAAGTTTCCCTGGATGTGTTTGAACTTGCAATACTCCTGCCTCAGCCTCCTAAGGTGCCTGTCTTGCCTTTTTTATGCAAATTATATTTTGGAGTAAGCAACAGCTCATAAAGAAAAGCTCTTTATTAAAGAATCATGACCAATATAGAAAGAATGACACAATTAGAAAGTCCTAGTAAAATAAGGGATCCAGGCAAGGACCATCAATGATTACCTAAAAACCATTAAGTGAAAGACAGGTGGATAAATTTACAATCATCTGGTATCGTAAGTTGAAAATATCTAAGATCACTCAATCTTAATAGATACAGGAAAAACTGTACTGTATGTCTCATCAGGAAGTATGGAACAGTACATTAAGTATTCTTGCTTAAAATAGTGAATTTCATTTATCAATTTACAGGAAATACGGAAGACTAGAAGACGGAAATATTTCTTTTTAATTATAGACACGCAGTCAGAAAAAATTCTGACTCTGTGACTGATTGTAAATTATCTCTCAAAATGTTAATATGTGCACAAGAGATCATATACAATTAACAGCATACTTAACTTGGTTTTTTATATTAGATAATTTATTTGCCTTATCAAGTTCTTCATCAGTCAAATGGAGGTAATCCTTAATCTTACAGGTTTATATTATGTGAGGCAATTTTGTGACATGCTTAAAAAAATATGTAAGCATTTACTATTAGAAAGTAATAATATGAGTTCTTAGTAACTCCCAGAACAATAGCATGTTTGATAAAGGAATAATATAGAAGGCGGCCCAGGAATTTCCAAGAACAAATGCATCTTGCATAGCTTCTAATAAGCAGAAAAGTTATATTCACATAATTTGTCAGAACCCTTCTTCTTACTCAGATAGATAAAAGATGATTTTCTTACCTTATCCAAAAGGTGTATTATCATTGGTACAAGATTGGCATCAATTACAGCCTGAACCTGCTGCTGATTTCCTGCAGTGATGTTAGATAGGAACCAAACTGCTTCCTGTAGAATAAGATCCTTTCAATATTTCTCATTAAAAAGTAAATCTGTATCTAAGCTAAGAAAAAAAGTATTCACTACAGTGTCCAAATAATTTTTTTTGGTACCAGGGATCAAACTTGGGTCCTTGTGCTTGCGCAGCAGGCGGTGAAACCACTAAGCTAAATCCCCAGTCCTCCAAATAAATTTTATTACTAACCGAGTTCCATAATAAAAATCTCAATTCTTTTTTTTTTTTTTTTGGTACTGGGGATCAAACTCAGGTCCTTGTGCTTGTGAGGCAGGTGGCAGAACTACTGAGCTAAATCCCCGACCCAAAAATCTCAATTCTTATACCCCCTTTCCATATTTTTTGGGACAAATCGCTAATGTTCCTAATTCAAGTCACAATGAATCAATCCTAAAAGAATTTTTAAAGGCAAAGGTTCCAAACTCAAAAGCATCTTAGCTGAATAAATACTGAGGAACTGATGAGTTATGATACAAATACAAATCCTCAAACTCTAAATGAGATACACTGCCCTTCTCTCTCATACATAGTAAAGGGCTTTATTCGCTACATCCTACCCCAATTAAGAATTATAACCAAAGTAGTACTCAATTATTCAAGACAATAGAGACATCAAAAAATGAAAGTGAGTTGTTTTAGTATAACTGTAATTTTTGTTTTGAGATGAGATCTTGCTATGTTGCTCAAACTGACCTTGAACTTGTAATTCTCCTTCCTTTTTCTCCTAGTATTTGCAACTACATGTGTCACCACCACTGTGCCTGGCTAGTAAGCTTACTATTTCACTGCACTATTTCTCTCAAGAGCTAAAGTGGAACCAGTGCTTGACTACTTTATTGGTCTGTCCTAATGATTTTTTAATGCTATCCTTTGCATCACAATAGTGCTAAACTTTTTCCAAGATGAGGGTAGTCCCAAGTATTTCACAAGTTTCAAAGTTAATAAATGCCCTACTGAAGCCACAGTTAGCAAGAAACAAGTATCTCCCTAACATGCTACACAGGATATTATTAGAATTTACCAATTTACTAAAAAGGCAACATTTTCTCTAAAACTGGTAAAACAAGTTTTACTCTAAAAAAATATTAGTATTGGCTACAGTACACTAGGCTCTTTTGGATCAGATCACAGGACCATGTTTAATGAACCTGTTAGAGATTTTGGGGTGCTAGGCTGGTTAGGTGAGCTGTTCTTGGGTTATAATCATCAGCAATGTTGTAATCAACAACCCATGTTATTTCTACAACAGCCTCAGATGCACTCCAATATCAGCATCACCATTCAGTGCCCCCTTTCCTAGCCACCACAAAAACACACACATGCACACACATTCTATTAACTAACTATAAAATATTCAACTAGAAGAATTAACAGACTATTAAAATTTCCAGTCATGCAACATTCAACACCCAAGTATCTCTATTTCATCATTTCCAAGAGAGCCAGAAACATACTGCACAGATGAGAGTGTAGCTCAGTAATTATCATGCATGAGGTGCTGGGTTCAATCCCCAGCAATGCCAAATTAATAAAAGTAAAGAAAGTACTTGGTTTGTTTTATACATGGAAAAAACATACACCAATTTTTGTTATAAAGAGTAAACTATTTTATTTTTTCTATCTCTCAGATATTTTCTGGGACCCTAATTTTATAAAAACTTACTTTATTAATTTTCTCTTTGGGATGTGTCAAGAGTGCTGGAAAGTGTGAAAGAGCATCACAATTCAAAACTACTTGTGTTTGCTCATCAGTTCCTGTAACAATGTTGCCCACAGCTCGAAGTGCAGCAGTCTGAAATGTAAAAAGATTTAATGAGCCATTGTTCAATGTGAAGTACTCATTATTAAAAAAGTCGTATTGTAGGGCTGGGGATTTAGCTCAGTGGTTTCGTCGCCTGCTGTGCAAGCGCAAGGACCCGAGTTTGATCCCTGGTACCAAAAAAAAAAGGTCATATTGTAGGTACTTAATGAAAGATGGAGGTAGGTACTCACATTCATGCATTTTTTCATTCCAACAAGCCTATCCTTTTTGAGCACTTAGTTTGTGTCAGACACTGATTTAAGAACAGAGATATAAGATACAAGTTGTAGATCTTAAGTAGCTTTTTATTATTTATGGTAGTGTGGACTGAACCCAGGGTCTTGTCTTGTATATGCTAGGTAAGGGCTCTCCCACTAAGCTTCATGCTCAATCCTTTATTCTGAAACAGAGTCCTGCTAAATTGTCTGGGCTGGCCTAAAGCTTGTGATCCTCCTGCCCTAGCTTCCAGAGTAAATGTGGTTACAGGCACCACAGGAATTAAACTTGACATAGTGTAAATTATTTTAAGAAGAAGACAGTCAATAAACAAAAAAGGATAATGAGAGATAGCAATTAGTGCCCTAAAGAAAGTCAGATACATTAGATTTATTTAAAAAAATTAAAAATAGAAATCTGTTGGTTTCACTATCATAAAATCTGACTTATTTTTCTATGGTTGCATTGAGTAATTTTCTGCTAAGTTAAAGCTTTTTTTTCTAATTTTTCATTCTACAAGACAAATAATCCAGGTGTCCCCCCCCAAAAAAATCACCTTTTTACAGTACAATTCCATATTTTTTATATAATAAAAGTTGTACAACCATTATCAGTATCTAATTCCAGAACATGTTCTTTCTTTTTTTTGGTACTGGGGATTGAACTTGGGTCCTTGTGCTTGCACAGCAGGTAGCGAAACCACTGAGCTAAATCCTGGGCCCTCCAGAACATTTTCATCATCTCCAAAATACATGCATTCATTAGCTGTTACCCTCACTGTCCTCACCCCAGGTCTTTGGCACCTATAATGCCTCTATCTACGGATTTGTATATCCTGGGCATTCTACAGAACAGAAACAAATTAATGTTATGTATCAGTACAGTACTTCATTTCTCTTCATGGTCAAATAGTATTCTACTATACGGCAGTATCATTTTATTTAGCCATTCATTAGGTGATGGACATTTGGACTGTTTCTACTTTTTGGATATTATGAATAAGGCTTGTATGAATATCTATGTACAACTATTTGTGTTGCCATGTGTTTTGAGTTCTCTTGCATATACACATAGAGGTGGACTTGCTTGTTGGCTCTTATAATTCTATAGAACATTAAGTTCATTGCGGACTACCGAAAGAAAAATTCTAAGCTATTTTCTCAAGCCCTAATTCCACATCCAGTATTAAACCTGAAGATGCATTATGAAAGCAAAACAAAATCCATCCCAAACCCCATAACTAGACTTAAGTAACAAACCTAAGAAATTCAAACTCAGTATAAACATATAGCAAGAATGTTTAAAATAAATCACAAATACCTCTAAATGACAAACTGTTCCATTAATTAACTCTTTTTGAATTCAGCTAAGTGCTCATTCTGTCTTTAAAGTGTTTTAATTCCATATCATCCAATAACTTTCTGTTTGTTCAATGGTACTAGGGATTTTACCTAGGGCCTTCACACTGAGCTACATCCTCAGCCCTTAAAAAAATTTTTTTTTCTTTTTTTTGCAACAGGGTCTCACTAAGTTTCCCAGACTGGGAACCAACTTGCAATCCTCCTGCTTCAACCTCCCAGAGTGCTGGGATTACAACTGTGTACCACCATGGCAGCTCTGAAGAACTTTTTAAACCTTAAGTTTCTAGGAAATATCATGCTTTTACTAAAACACAGAATTTTTAGGGGTTAAGCAAGGAAAATTTTTTACAGATTTTCTTTAAGTTCCACAATGATTCTGATATCCAAATAGTACTGTGAAATAGTGACTTAGGTTAACAGTTTTCCTGATGCTATTAGTTTACTTTATAAGCTCTAAGCCATTATCAATTAACATATACTATCTTAGAAAGGTAGGGAGAACTTGCTGAAATTTTCACTTCTTTTTGGCTTATATTAGATGAAGGTCCTTAAAGTATTATTCTAATAAATACCAGGTGGAATATTTTATATTTAAAATAAAAGAATAAAATTAGAAAAAAATTAAATAATTGAAAAGAAACAATTTAGCAATGTATTTTAGTACAAAGCCTTTATCCCAATACCAGTAAAGCTGAGTGTTAACTTGGTGAGTGAGTAAAAAAAAGGATAGTTGGGGGTGCAGGGGGTAGAAAGAAGAAAAGAACAACTAGAAAAAAAGTCAACACTCATTTCAGATGTTACCCATGTTGCTGTACTGAGTACATCGGAAATCAATACTCTATATAAAGTGCTACCCCCCTTTTCTTGGCAGGGGAAGATTCTTATCGAACTGCAGTACTCCACTTTTTTTTTAGAATAGGGATTTCCACCTCAGACATGTTATGATATTAAGAATATAATTTCAACTACTGAAATTGTCCACTTTTGAAAGCCATGTTAAAAGCCAACTAGTGCTAAGAAAAACATTTTATCAAGAACAAACTTACCTGCACTTTAACTTCCTGGTGGCTGAGTAGAGGAACCAAATGAGGAACTATTCCAGAGTCTATTACCATCTGTATCTGTTCATTGCCAGCATCAGTAAGGTAAGACAGGGCCCAGACTGTATCTACCAATATCTGGTAAAAAAAAAAAGAAAGTTCAATAGTGTTTGAATATTTCCTCATTTTATATTGTTTTAAAAAAACTTCATTAGTACAGATTTGCAGTACATAATGATTACATTCATTGTAGGGAGTTGGTAGATGTACATAATCCATCTTAATCCTTTTTATGTCCCCTTCATTTGAATAATTCTTAAACATACAACCAATCTAAGATTGTTTTACTATCTTCTTTCTTCATTTCTTCTCTTACCTCAATTCACTGGAATTTTGATTACTTATGGTTCTAGTCCCAGGCTGGTATTCAATCTTTAGTCACTAAGCTACACATACTACATAGCATATGAAATAGGAGGGGAAAAAAAAATGTTTTTTTCTCAAATGCTCAGGCTGAGGCATACTAGGTCCAAGACTTCATGGCTAATGTATATGGTTGGACTGTATGTATAAAACATGCACAGTGGTTTGAAACATCTGGACTATATTCAAGGAATTTCCTGCTATCATCAGTACTATTTGAGGATGCCTAAAGACTAAACCAGTATCAGTATTAAAGTAGTTTCATTGTCTCTAACCAGTTTGCATTGCCTTATAAAACTGGAGGCAAGCTGGATGTGGGGGCAACACAATAGTAATCTTAGCACCCTGGGAGGCTGAGGCAAGAGGATCACAAGCTTGAGCCCAGCCTGGGCAACTTAGTGAGAACCCTGTCTCAAAATTTAAAAAAAGCCTCTGCAACTTATACTAAAAATGGCTTATAATTTTTTAATAATTATATTTTGAAATACAGCAGGTCATATCTTTGATCTTTCAATTTAAAACCTAATTAGAAGTTATGGCCAAAAGACAGTATGACAATTATTTCACTGCTACATTTAAATAACATAATTACTGACAAAACCCACAGAAATAGAAACAGTGCCTGAACTTTACTTCCAAAGCCTTTCTGGAACACAGACTCTATAAAGGCAAGACAGTACTCTTTTGGGGGGGGGGGGGGTTACCGGGGATGGAACTCGGGTCCTTGCGCTTGCACAGCAGGCGGCAAAACCACGGACCTAAATCCCCAGCCCAAGACAGTACTCTTTGTCACTTTCCAAAACTGAAGAAGGCTCTAAAGATATTTTTAGAGTAAAAAGATGTCAAAAGAAAGATTTCACACAAAGTAGAAATATTATGTAAAACAACTAAATTTCAAATTGCAAATGGAACTAGTTCTTTTTCTGTAGTATTCAAGTACACTAAAATCTGTTGACACAGGCAAAAAATATCAAGTCATTTATGGTTTTCGTTGCTTTGTTTTCATGGTGCTAAAGATGGAACCCAGGGTCTCACACATCCTAGGCAAGTGTTCTACCACTGAGTCATACTCCTAACCCCTTGAGTAACTTATGACCATACATAAAAACAATACATTTTTTTTTAAGGCCCATTGCTAAATAAGTCATTAATGAGCCCAGATCCAAATTTCACCTCAAAACTAGATCTCTCTTGTACTTTTTTTATCAGATAAAATTTATATTCTATGGTAAGTTTTCTAAGTACAGTGTAATATTAGCATTTTACTTACGTTTTGTGAAAACTATTAATTTTGCTTTTTTAGAATTTCTTTGATGGCCTGATTTAAGAATTTCTACTAGTGCTTAGCTAAGATTTTATTTTTAAACATCACTTAGTAAACAATATTTACTAAAGATGTTACTAAAAAGAATACTACAATCTGAGAAATTCCTCAAGCCTTAACAAAGGTAAGAAAATAGTCACAATCTCTTCTAGATTTACTAAAGATGTCACTAAAAAGAATAACACAATCTGAGAAATTCCTCAAGCTATAACAAAGGTAAGAAAATAGTCACAATCTCTTCTAGATAGGGATACACAGGTAGAATATTTCTGAATAGTCAACAAAGATATCTGATTTGCCAATAGAGATATAAGCTTTGAGATAATCTTTCCTACAAATCTTTCAAATGCAAAATATTAAAATTTATAATTTAATCAAATAGTTCCACTATCAGGAACCCAAACCAAAAATTGCTTATATATACTTAAAATCCTAGATTATCTGGAACTACATATGCTTTAAGGGGATTCCATCAGAACTATAGGCCTAGAAACTAAAGAAACACAGCAGCTCAAACACTGCTGACCATAGCAAATTTTTTTTAAAGACAAGGTCTTGCTATATTGCCAGGTTTGTCTCAAACTGCTGGACTCAAGAGATCCTCAAGGCTCAGCCTTCTTAGTGACTGAAACTACAGCACACACCACTGTTCACAGTTGTTAAACTATTTTTAAAGAACTATACAAGTTTCTGACTGGTAGGGCCAGGGATTTAGCTCAGTGGCGCTGTACCTGCCTCACAAGCACAAGGTCCTGAGTTAGATCTCTGGTACTGAAAAAAGAAAAAAAAAAGTTTCTGACTGGTAGTGTTCATGCCAGACAAAGGCTCTACCACTGAGATACAGCCCTAGCCCATATTCTCAGTTCTCTCTCTCTTTTTTTTAACATATCAAAGGCTAGTTTGGCTTTTATAAGCAATCAGGGCAATTTCCCACTCCTTGAGTTACTTTTTTTCCTTTGTCATCTGTGCTAGTAAGAATAAACAAAATATATTTGTGACGTTAAAAATCTTGTCAGTACTGATGTTTTTCCCATGTTGTTTACATAATCCAGAGCTGTCTCTATACTAAATAAAGCTGAAAGTCATTATGACTTGGAGAAATAAAAAGTGGAATTAAAGGGCAACTGATTTTCATGGTTATGCATATGAATACAATTTCATATATATAATCAAATATTTCTTTATCTCATACAGAAAAACACCATGGGTATATGCTCTCAATACCCAGGCTACCAAAATAAGCTGCCACAAAAACTCAACAACAAAGACATTATCTTAGTGACAGAAAGTAACTGGCAACTTTGTACAGGCTTTACTTCTTTACTGAAATTATATTTTCTCCCCTATGTCATAGGAGGTGCCCTATACATACATAAACATATATATATACACACATATATATAAAAATAGAAGAGACATATTTACTCACATTTACGTCTGTGTGATGAATTAAAACACAAAGGGCTGGAAGAATCTGAAAAGAAGAATATACAGATTTAAAACACACATAATGGGAGCCAGGGATGTAGCTCAGAAGCACTGTGTCTACTGGCAAGTGCAAGGTCCTGAGTTCAATCCCCTATACTGGAAAATACACACACACACACACACACACACACACACACAAAGACATACAAACAATGTTATCTATTTTCAAAAATTTATTTACCTCCTGAATGGTTTCCATTGGTGGTGGTGGGTCTTTGTGGCGACATAAATTGACCATAACCCAAGTAACATTTCTTAAGAATGTTATAGGAATGGATGGACTTATGAATGAAAGTAAAGGTTTCACAACTCCAAGACTTATGACATAATCTCTACACTGGGGTCCATCACCTGTAAAAAGGATCAATTCAATAAACCATATCAACAATAAGCATTTTCAGAAAACACAAAGCACTGGGTACACTATGCTGTTTTCGATATTTGATCCAGACCATATATTTAATTTTATATTAAAGTTTTAGGAATGCAACAACTAAGTTCACATTCTAGGTCTCTGAGCTAAGAGAAATGCATTAGGTGCTAAGTTATTCTTCTGAATACAATTTGTATCTTCAGCTTTATAAACTGCTTACTTATGAAATGTACTCACATCATCTAAACTTCTGGAAGCCTAAGAATTCTTTAAAATAACTTGTGGCTGGGGCCAAGGATGTAGCTCAGTGGTTCCGCCGCCTGCCTCCCAAGTGCAAGGACCTGAGTTCGATCCCCAGTACAAAAAAAACAAACCAACAAAAAACTCATGGTTGAGTTGGCATCGTATAAAATTAGTCATATTGGTCTAGAAATGTTAAACAATTTTCCCATTTGTACAGGGGTAACACTGTATTAAGCATCTAAGATCTTATCTACATTGGTTTGATTACAGAAACTAATCAGTAGTAGTTTTTAAAAAAATACCGTAACCTGGGCTGGGGACTTAGCTCAGTGGTTTTGCCACCTGCTGCGCAAGCGCAAGGACCTGAGAACTGTTACTTTTCTGTCTGAGTGGTACTCTGTTTAACAAACTTTCTTATGATTAAAAAAAAAAAAAAAAAATGAAGAGGGTCGGGGATTTAGCTCAGTGGCACTGCACTTGGCTTGAAAGCGCAAGGTCCTGACTTTGATCCCCGGTACCCCCTAAAAAAGAAAAAATACATGTAGAATTTTACTTATAGTCTCATGAGAATATCAAAAGAATGGAGTATAAATTACTCTATACATTCAGAAAGAAAGAGAACTAAATACTACCCGAGAGTAGTGGTGTCCGATGTGGTTTTTTGGGCTTGAGCTGACTTATTAAAGCAGAAACTCTTTGGAGCCAGGATTCTGTGTTTTAAAAAGCTCTCCGCATAATGGTGATAGCATACTAAAGTTTGTATCTACATGTCAGTATAATTTCTAGTATGAAGCCATATTGAACTATTAATATAAATGAAAACACTTTTCCTTGGACTACCACATCTGGAGATAAGAGGCTTAGTGTTTTTGCATCCACATATTTGAACTGATTCTAAAACTTGGTATATAAGCAAAGGAGTGAGATTTGGGATATACAAACAATGTAATTCTTAATAGCAGTATACCCTATGCCTGAAACAGTTTCTAGAGAAATCCTCCCATAAAAACTCATAATCATCCCATCCTGCATGTTGCCCCAGTAAAAGAGCAATAAATAAAGTACTATATCAAAGCAACATTAACTACTTCTATGCAAGATCAATAATCTATAGCAAGCCTGATACAGGGTGCATGCCTGTCCCAGTAATGTGGGAGGCTAAGGCAAGATGATGTCAAATTTGAGCCCAGTCTGGGCAATTTAGCAATTTAGAGATAACTTATTTCAGAATAAAAGATAAAAAAGGGAAGATGTCCCTCACTATGAAGGTCCTGGGTTTGATTCCAGTACTGAAGAAACCAAAACAAAGCAAAAAAACTATCATATAATATGAAAAAAACTATCATATAATATGAAAAAACTGTCACAAGAGAAAAAGGAGGATATTAGACAAATTAAACTGTCATTCAATCATAATATATAGGGTAAAAACTTAAAAAAAGAGGTAAAAGGGCCTGGGGATGTTGCACAATGTGAAGGTCTTGGGTTCAACCCCCAGTATAGCAAACACAACTAAACTAAAACTTCTCCCTTACTAAATCAGACCTCTAGAAAAAGCATTGCAACTTTATCCTACCCTTTGAAGCTAGTTCTTCTAGCTGTATCAGCTATATCAGTGACTCCAGATATTTCAGTTTGAATTTGAGTTTGGCTTACGTTAGACTCTTACTAAAACACAACTCTAAGAACTGTCTTTATTCTTCCTATAATACAGAGAAAATCTTGAAGATACAGTAATTGTGACAACATTTAGATGATCAATAGGCTACATACACTTCCTACTGATTCATAATGAGGGAATATTACTATATTTTATATATTAACAAATTTTAATGTACAAAAGTTTGCAAAACAAAAAATTTTCATTTTGGATTCTTTTCAGAGCTACCATTCTGGGGCAAAATTATTGGTTTAAGTTTTGCATCTTCCTCTTTCTTAGTATGTTCTCTGATAGAGAAAGCTGAGAAATAAAATGGGACCCTAGCACAAAACAGAATATCTAAATCGTACACATTTCATAATTCTTCAAATAATTAAGATTCTTTTTCTAAAAGATATAATGGTATTTTAAGCAACAAAAATGTCCCTTTTATTATCGCTTTTTTCTTACATAGTTATATGGCTAATATTTCTGTAAGCTACTTCACAAAAACTAGTATTGAAGACAAATTGTTTTCCTTTTGGACTACTAGTAGCTGTTTTTATTATCTAATATATGATTATAACAATTGTTGGATTAAAAGTTTTATACAAACCTATGATATTTCCCAGTGCCCACACAGCTTGTTCACAGACATTCTGATGGGGAGAATGGAGAAGCCTCAAGAAAAGCGGCACAGCATCTGAAGGAAGAACATGTTAACACTTAAGGTTGAAAATCTACACTGTGAATCAAAATTGCTAAGACTTCAAAAATCAGGGGACTATCAACACTGAAAATATATCCTCATTAAATGATTATCAGGATAGCATTATTAGAAGAATTTTGACTAGCACATTACTTATTCAGAATCAAAATGACATACAAATGTCAAATTAGGCTCATAAAATTTCATTCACAATTAAACCAGGACTTAATTCCAATTTTTTTTGGGGGGGTGGTGGTTGCACTAGAGATTGAACCCCAGGCCTTATACATGCTAAGCACATTCACTACCACTGATCTACACCCCTAGCTCCAACTTTATTTCAATTTTAATTCCTTATAGAGTATTAACCCTCAAGTTTTGAGGGGGGAAAAAGTACAATTGTTTAAATAACTTGAGTATGAAAATTTAAATTAACACCACATGGGTAGGCAGGCCAGTGATTCCTGGGTCACATGAAACCTTGTGAATTAAAATGTAATTTCTGTTGCTTACCAAGGATGGGAAAAAGGGCCGGGGATTTGGCTCAGTGGTGCTGCCGCCTGCCTTGCAAGTGCAAGGTCCCAAGTTTGATCCCTTGATACCAAAAAAATAGGATGGGAAACAGAGAGGCAGGTCTCTATCTGAATAGATTAACAATTCACTGAACAAATGACCCTTCTTCCTTCTGATATTACCTTGAGGAATAAAATTTAAGTGTACGTTGATCAATCATGCTTCCTTAAATGAAAAGTAATTCACTTATCTATAAAAGACAGGCTAACAGTGATACATGAGATACATACTTTTTCTTTTTTTTTTTGGTACCGGGGATGGAACTTGGATCCTTCTGCCTGCAAGGCAGGCGGCGGAACCACTGAGCTAAATCCCCGCCCCTATACATACTTTTTCTAATCTTTAAGGATCACATAACACAGGAAAGAATGAGAATAAGACATCATCATGAAACCATAAGCTACCTAATGATCAACTATCCACAAAAACAATACACACACACACACACACACACAATGTACCTGAACCCAAAACTAAAACAGTTTTGGTATGGTTTAATCACTTACAAGTCCGATTATTTAAATATGGACAACCAAAAATTGCGTTATCTTTGTTAGTTTTTATAAGATAAAAGGAAATATAAAACCCACAATTTTATTAAATTTGTTCAATAATTTTCCTGTGTATGGTGTATCTTAAACAGGGAAGAACCACAGCCACTTGAGACCCCCCCCATAGCCCCAGGCCAAGAACTCAGGACACCTGAGAGTGGGGAAATGGGGCTCATTCAGGGAAGACCCTGGGCCAGTATACATCCTTTCAACTAGGGAAGAAAAAAAAGGGAGGTGTTTGCTCTTTTGAAAATATTATTAGGGGCCCCGAATGCCTTGTGAGGAGATGAGCCTCTCAGCGCTCCCCACTCCCTGCCCCAGTGCTGAGGAGGTGTATGGTATATCTTAAAGCATTCAACACACAATGCAATGCTACAATCTGGACAGTAGTATCTAGTCTCTTTCTGAATTCTTTTTTGCGTTATTGTCTTTCTTTGAACAACACACTTTGTCATGTAGGTTTTTCTTTTAAAAAATTAATTTTATTGGTACATTTTAGGTATACAATATAATGACATTCATCATTGGAAACTTGCACCTTTACATAATCTCTCTTGGTTCTTATTTTCTCCCCCTTCCCCTGCTCTCCCTTCAACCCCTCCACCCCCTTCCCTATTTACAAAGACTTTGTTTCCATTTTTTTCATAGTAATCTCATTCCCTTCTCTCCTTTCCCCTACCCCTCCTACTCCCCTTCCCCTTTGCCCCTTTGCTTCCTAGTTCATATTATCTATTATACCTTTTAGTCCTTATTTACACTTTGTTTCCCACACTAGAGAAACTATTTAGTATTTACACGTGTGTCCTGTTTATTTCACTTAAGAGTATCGCCTCAATGTGCATCCATTTAGCTATAAATATCTCTAATCTCTTTTTTTATGGCTGAGTAGTATTCCACTTAAAAAAAAAACCCACATTTTCTTTATCCAGTCTCCAGTTGATGGGCAATTGGGCTGCTTCCAAGTTTTATCTATTACAAATTGTGCTGTTATGAACATGGGTGCACGTATATCACTATGATATGATTCTTTTATTTCTTTGGGGAAGATACCCAGCAGGTGGTATATATGTATTTTTTCTGTGGGTGGTATAATTTTAATAAAATGTCTACCCATTAAACATAATGGTGCAGACATTGATGATGGACATCCTGGTTGGCATTTCGCTATCTCATATTTTTCAATTTTTAGTTTATTAGACCTAAATTGTAAATAACTTTTGAACCAATTTCTTTGGAATAACAAATGAGTTCCATATTATTTGGTCCAGAAGGTACATAAATATTTTATAATAATATATTTTTTCTTGTTTTCTGATTACAGGATAAGCTCGTTAGACATTAGTCAACTCTGTCAATACCACCCATAGAATTATAATCACTGACTGCTACTGGAAATTTTAAGTTTCATTTCTTCTTTCAAGTTTTATCATTTCTGTATTATACACAGTGGAAAATAAAAAGACATCTTTTTTGTCTTTCCATTTCGTAAGTTTTCCATTTCAGAGTTTTCCTTCCTGACATGTGAACATTTCTCCCTTTTTTCAGTTTTTTCTTTTGCAGATCGTTTGGCAGTTCCTTCCTATTCAGTCTCAGTGTCCCAACTGTGTCCATTTTGTATTGTAAAATAGTATCATTGAGTTCTGGAGAAGAATGAGAATTATAGCTAATGTACTTATGATAAGAGTTTTTATAAATTGTAGCACAAAATTATAGGTTATTTTCACAAACAAAATCAACACAAATTACTAAAAGAAAATAAGCAGAACTCATTAGATTTCACTAGAAACAAACATTAAAGGTGAATACAACATTCTAAATAGAAACGTATGCAAAAAGTTGATATAAAACAAACAAACAGACACACAAGTGTATCTCAGACAAACAAGAATTGACTGGTTGAAAAGATACCTACCTGCCTGAACAACACTCAGGATAGTCAGTACGTAAACAAATGAGCTACTGAGTTATACTTGGGGTAAACTGTTTAGCACTTAAGGTATTTTTCTTTTCTAAGTAATATTAGAACAAATACTAAAATATAAAATGGTTATTAATTGGATAAAATTTTTGTCCTCTGCCAAATCATTTACTGCTTGTGATTTTAACAAGTTTAGACCAATACACTGCTTACATTTAAAAAAGACTTTTAAAGTATCTTCCTTAAAACTATCCATTTCTTTGGTGGAAGAATGAAATAGTATTCAATATAATGACACGGTCAAGTTAATATGAAACAAAAACAGCAGGCATTTTATTACAGCAACAAGAAAAAAACTTTCAAACCATTCTTTCAATAGGACTACCTCAAAGATATCCTTAAATGTTATGATACAAATTTCATTAGGAAAGGTTGAGAGGTAGAATATCAACAGGTATAACTCCTTTTATTTCTACTGATGCCCTACAGATAAAATGAAATAAAATAATGTAATCTGATACTATAATCAGGAAATGTTCTTGGTTTTAGACTGTAATCAAATGAATTTTTCAAAATAGAGAATGTCAGTCACTGGAACAAAATGATTAAAATAACATACTTATGTTAGCTAATTCAACAACCCTACATGCTAGCTACTGGGTAGTTATTATTTTATAGTATAGTTAAACTGTTTTAGGAGAACTGTTTTTTTAATTGGCTTTAAAGATCATAATACTGTTTATTAATAACCAACTTACTAGACTGAACCACTGCTTGAGTTTGTTCAGAGGTTCCAGATGCAATGTTTGTCAAGGCCCATGCAGCTTCAAACTGTAAAGAAGGACTACAAAATAACAAATTATTTTCAACAATAAAGATTTTTACAATGGCCCAAATATCTAACAATCCTTTCTTCCTCTAGCATGTATTAAATATTCTGTTCTAAAAGATATCTATCCATTCAACACTAGGGGTTAAAAAAGAGGGAGGGTAGACCAATCACAAAATCTATTCAGTATAAAAACCTTCTAATATGTCTTTATTTTTAGTAACATCTCTTTTTTATTAAGATTTTTTCATATTTCAAACAGTTTTGGACAAGTACCTATTTGGTCAAGCTAGTTCTTGGTAATTTCCAAAGGTTACACATTATTATTAGTATTAGTATTATTTTGAGACAGGGTCTCACTATACAGTTTAGGCTAGACTTGAATTCACTATGTAGCCCAGCCTGGCCTCAAACTGGTGGGGATCCTCCTGCCTCAGCTTCCCAAGAGCCAGGATTACAAGTGTGCAACACCACGCCTGGTTACAAATTAAATTTATCATTCTGAAATTCTTCTTTGGTTCATCCTTCATTTCATTAGCATACTTTGTACTGCTTTTCACTCTGACTTTTTAATTCTATCCCTCGGTCCTTTTCAAAGGATCAAACTAACTACTCCAAGGGACACATTCTAAATTCTTAAAAAAGTACTTACTTGTCATCTCTTTCAAGACAATGGACTAAAATAGGCAATATTCCAGATTTTATTAAGTCATCAATTGGTGGATTTCGATCACTGGACAAAAGCTTCCTGTAAGATATACATTTCTTGTGAAACTTAATGGCATATACTAGTATAATTAAATTCAAATGTGTGTGTGTATATACATATATATATGTATATGTATATATATACAAATTGTTTGAGACAGGGTCTCATTATGTAGTTCAGGCCCATCTTGAGCTTGCTATGTAGTTCAGGTTGGCCTTAAACTAGGGATCCTCCTTCCTTGGCCTCTTAAGTGCTGGGATTATAGGCATGTGCCACTAAAGAGCAAATTTGTATTTGATGTATATAATCATAAATTTGAATATTTGGCCTAAGTACTCTATTTGAAAATTACTTTTCATAATTTACATAATGCCAACATTTTCTCTATAAAAAGATTAACTTACAAAAGAAATTTAGATATGACCAATAATTAGAAAAGTACGGCAGACATTTTACCAACTTTGTTAGTACAGTATTATTCTCTCAAGAAAATTTTGAATATGGCTTATAAAATGACAAATGATTTTTTACACACCTCTTTAACACAATATTTACCTTGCTAAGAAAGAAATTAAGAGGTCACCAAAACATCCAGAATTTTTCTTACTAGATCTCAACAGTCAACAGATAAGAGCAGGCATGCTGATGGTATACATTTATAGTTGATATTAGTGTTTAATTCTTTATCCTACTCTACTCACTGAAAAGCCCATAAAAGCCCAACAATACTTTCATCTCAGTAACTAAAGAGAAATGGAGTAAGTTTAATGAAAAAGAAAATATCTAAAGAGATGCTGGAGATACCGAGGTGAACAAGATAGAACATCTGTTCTCATGGAGCTTACAGGATGAAAAACAAAACATAGTGCCCATTTTCACATGTGCGAGACTGAAGGTTTAACTGGTAAATCTTCAGTGTAGTCTAACAAATCTTCACCCAATGGAATCTCCTGCACTATTATTTAAAGGTAAGGTTTAAGAACACTTAAGTACATCGTTCTACCACATAAACAGGGTTTCTTATTTTCTACCTCGTGAATACAAACTCCATGACCTAGCTTATAAACTGCTTCAGAGGCTGGCTCCACCTTACCTAATTAATCTTACTATAGGTCGGGCTGGGGATTTAGCTCAGTGGTTCCGGCACCCGCCTCGCAAGCGCAAGGACCTGAGTTCAATCCCCAGTAGCAAAAAAAAAAAAAAAAAAAAAATTCAATAGGTCAGTTGTCACACCATTTCTGTCTCATTTCTAAGCCCTTCCTTTATATCCTACTCCCCTCATTGGAAATGTCTTGTTTTCTATCTAGTCAAATTCTTACCTCTTTAAAGTCCATTTTGAGTTCTGTTTTATATAATACCATCTTCGAATTCTAAGAGTGGTTTACACTATATAGTCATACATTTGCTATATTAGCCATATATATATAGTCATAGAGTATCACTGTTTTTTTTTTAAAAAGTAATTCTGTACTCACAGATTCTAAACTTAAAGAAATTATATAATACTTTCACACTATTTTCCATAACACATGGCACAGATCTTACAAGTGGAAATTTTATAAAAAGTTTAAAAAGGCATCAAGCCAGTCTTTCTCAGTCAAGTTTTCAAGAGATCAATAGTGATGAAGAAAAATATTTTATAGCTTCACTGAGGACAATTTTAAAAACAGATGACCATAATTTTGAGCTGTCAATAGTTCCATGGTTTTTTTCCCTACATACCAAATTCCTCTAATAAGAAGTTCTTTTACTCTTGGCATATTAAACCTACAATTCTGTAATCTGTTCTAGGTTATTTAAGGATAACACACAAAATAGAAAAAGTATAATACTGTTACAAAAAGGATTCATGCCTTGGGTAAGATATTGGATGGACCTGGGAAATTTTTCTCACACTGAAACTCTATTAACTATGAGCAATTTCTTAAGTGTCTCTTTTCCACTAATACTCATAATATATGGTGTTATTCTTATTCTCACAAATATACAAAGAAACACCATAATGTGTTATGGTACACCCAGCCTTCTCCAACCTATCTGTTAATACAAATGTTTCAGTAATATATTTTTATGGCTTTTTCCTTAAAATATTAGAGTATAAGAGTCACAATAGAAATGTGCAAAATGACGTGGTCTTTCCAGCCTGGAAGGACAGTGGGAATGTATGCGACCATAAATTTAATGTCCTCTTGTTGAACCCTGACATAGTATGCTCGTAACTCTTGATTTACTGTTTGAACAATATGAGAATTGTCAGAATTAGCTATCTTGGTAAGGGTTTGAAGAATGTGAGCTTTTTTCATTTTGTTTTTTTGGAGATAGGGACTTACTGTGTAGCCCAGAGTGGCCTTGAACTCACGACAATCTTCCTGCCTCAGCCTCCTGAGGGCTGGGATTACAGGTGTGTACCACCACACCCAGCGAATGAGTTTTATAAAATAAAACCTGTAAGCTAGTAACAGGTAAAGCTTTATAAATAATGCTTTTCTATTACTCTACATCACTAACTTGTTAAATCAACTTTTCCCTAACATTTTTATGTATTAGGTACATGAATGCTTCAGTGTATTTAAATCATCACTTTCATATCAAACTTTTGTGAGCTTAAGAGTACACAGTTCAGGGCTGGGGATTTAGCTCAGTGGTGCCACCACCTGCCTGGCAAGCACAAAGTCCTGAGTTCAATCCCCGGTACTAAAAAACCCCCCAAAACCCAAAAAACAGTTCAGTGTATTTAAGCTCACAAGTTTTTAGATCGCTATCCATTTTAATACTGTAAATACAGATAACAATTTTTTGAATAAACTGACTTCCTTATTGTTTGCCTTATTGTTAGATTAGCAGAATTACTGTAAAGACTCAAAATAAAAACTGTGTAATGTATACAATTTAAACTTGTCCTCAAAATTTAACTTACCTAGCAGCTTGAACTGCACTTAATTGAATTCCTTGGTTATCACTTGAAGCATTCTATAAAAAATAAAACAGCTTATGATGTAGATTCACAATAATTAGTTGAGTCCAGCATATTTGAAGAGGAGTAAAAAACTCAACTTACTTGAACAATAGCTTCTAGAGAGGTATTTTGCTGAGAAAAAAATTACAGAGAAAACTAAGTTAAACAGTCACCTTAAAATGCTATATTTATGTGAAATCTTTCACTGGTAGTTTTAAATTACCAGAATAATAATAACTTACCACTCTGTAATCGCCATCTATATCAGAATCTTCACAGATATCTTCATGTGGTACGTTCCTTCTCTTTAAGAGATGTTCATCTCTTTTATTCTTTAAAAAAAAGTCAGAATATCAGGTTTTTAAAAAAACTAAACATTGTCATATAAGGGTTAGGCAATCCTGTGCCTAAATAAAATATGAAATACCTTTTAAAAGTAACATTCAAATGCAGAAATTTAAATCAAATTGTGAATTCAACACTTAACTGACACTAATTTGAGTCCCCAACAACAAATACTACATTTCCAATGAACCATGAACCATTTAAAACAAAACAAAACATTGGACTAAAAAAAGACAGTATATTGCTTAAGCCAGAACCAACTATATATATTTACTTGAAAGTACTAAATTACTTTACATATCATCTGAGAGCTTCTCTTTACCACTTAAAAGCAAAGTCAGAGCAAAAGTTGGGCAGTTCAAATTTAATCAAAAATCAACAATGTTTTACAAAAATCAAATGCCCTCTGAATTTCACTTGAAACGTTTGGGGCAAATTTACAAGTACGTTCTCAACTGTCTATTTTAATACTTGAAAAGCTAGTGAAATTTACAAGTAGCAAGTTCTTTTCGGGGCATAAATACTGTCTTATTTTAACAGCAGAACTGCAACTATATCTATTACCCTTATAAAATAAAATTACAACAATATCTGCTAAGTTGTTTATAACTATTCTTAGTGGACAAGTTGTATCTTGCCAATTTAATAGCTTTTTAAATTCAGTAAAAGTTTTCTTCTTTCAAAAGAAAAAGAAACACTGAATGCTTGAGACAGAAAAAAAGCTTAACTATATTTAGTGAGTAAAATTTAGTTATATAGCAAGTTACATATCTTACATGCAACATACATTTGATATCTTCTACACATGCCATAATCTTGTTAGAATTATGCCTGGAAGTACCAACGCTAACCAAACTCACCTTCCTTAATTCAACTACAACTTCATTTCGTTGTCTTCTCATAGTCTACAAAAGAGTAAAAAACCATGTTTTTTAACCACCTCAAACTCTATCATCTAAAAAAACCCAAACCCAATTATTAACATTTTAATGTATACCTCTAACTTTTCTTCAAGCCATATATATGTACTCTAAGCGCAAGGACCCGAGTTCGATCCCTGGTACCAAAAAACCAAACCAAACCAAACATATATATATGTACTCTTATAATAAAGATCATATTATCATTATATAGATGATTTTCTATCTTCAGCTTACATTTATATTCCAAAATATTAAGTCTCTTTGAATTATACCTATAACACTAGACATATCATAATTTTAAAAACTATAACATAAGGTTTATAAAAAAATATAGAAGTACAAAGAATAGAAAAGGCCATAATCTCACTCCCCATGTGAATCAATGACATTTTAAGAAGTCAATATTATATGTAAAAGGCTAGTAAATTCAACTGCTAAAGGGTGGGGGGAGCAAGGAACATCTTCCTGTACACCCAGTCTCTCTCTTTAAAAGTTTAAAACAATATTACACTTACTACTTATTTTATTTATATAGATCTTAGAGATTTTTCCGTGGTGACATTTATAGATCTTTGGTTTTCCTAATGACCAAATAACTATTTTTTCACATACTGTGGCCACTCATTTTTTATCATTTTTTTTTCAGTTTTAAAGACACATCATACATAGATAAATGTTCACTGTAAAACAGTCAAATATTCAGAAATAAGTTCACGCTGTTTCTACATATAGGATCACCTCATTCTAATAATAGCACATGTCAAGACACAGTAAGTGGAAACAGTAAGTCACAAAGCAGTACTTAAATACGTAAGAAGCATCTCAAACTTATCCAAAATTGAACTTTTTGATCTTTAACAAACATACTCCACCCCCACCTCAGCAAATGGCAGGTCTACCCTTCCGTGTGCACAGATCTGAAACCTTGGAACCATTCTTAATTTTTTCTCTTCTATCATGTATTCATTCTCTTAGCAAATTCCTTTAGTTCAACCTTGAAAACATAACCAAAATCCCACCACATGTTACTTTCTACTCAGTCCAATTCATCATCTCTCATGTAGTTTACTAAGAAAACCTTCTAACATGTATCCCTCCTGCTCGTGCGCTCCATCTTCCTTCTTTCCCAGGCCAGCCCTCAACATAGGAACCAGAGTAATCGTCATAGGAAGTTTTAATTTTGTGTGCCACAGGCACCTATGATAGCTGGTGAAATCAAATAAAAATCTGCTCAGTGTTTAATATACAAAAATATACATGATTATTAAGGAAATGTACTAATACATAGTTAGGAAAAAAGATAAATATGAAATAACAAATTGTAAGATTGGTGCTTCATTATTGCATTAAATGTGATCTACAGTGGCTCTAATAGCTATTATAATTTCAAAGTAATAATGACCATAAATGATATCTCAGTGTACCTGCAACAATAATGGAATTTTATTAGCTGTGACAAAGTCACAAAACACTTGTCATTTACTGACTATATTATTAAGTGCAAGAAACATTGTTTCACTTAAAAGTTAAGGAAAGTAAATTTTTTCTCCCTGCATGTGCCTAGGCTCTCCTGAATTTTACCTACAGAATCCATAGAGCATCCAAAGGCTGTCAATAAAGAACTGCTTTCCAAAAAGTCAATCAAACCATGCCACTCCCCTTTTCAAAACTATCCAATGCATGATTTGTCACTTCAGAGTAAAAGTCCATTCTTTACAATGGCTTAAATCCAGTCATATCTTCCCACTTCACCCTTTCTGCAATGTCAGTTCCTAGTCTTCTCTCCATTCATTCTGCTGCACCCAAACCAATCTTGCTACATCTCTTAACACACTGGGAATTCTCTTGCCTCACAGTCTTTTTGTTTTGTTTTGTTGTTTTTTCTTCACAGTCTTAACTAATATACTACAGTAATTCTTAAGTTAATTTCCACAGCCAAATTGCCTGAGTTGTTTTTTTAGTCACACCACTTACTAGCTCTCTGCCTTTCCATTTTCTTATCTATAAAATAAAAATACCTACTTCATAGGTTTACTGTAGGGTTTAAATAAATCAATGTATATAAGTACTTAAAGAGCAGTACATGTGTTAGCTTATTATTTTTACTGCTATTTCCTCAGGTTGGAATGCTCTCCCCCACTATCTACAGTGCTTTCCCCTTTTCTGATCCCCTACCAATTTCCTATCTGGACACTATCTCTTCCTTGACTTATTTTTCTCCACGACACTTAGCACATTCTACTATACTGTATAAAATTTGACTTAAGGAATAACAAGGAGTAAGCATTATTTCTTCTTAATGTGTCTTGACTAATCTTACATGTACAGAAAAATTTTTTTTGGTACTGGGGATTGAACTCAGGACCTTGCACTTGTAAGGCAGGCATGGTGCCACTGAGCTAAATCCCCCCCCCCCCATTTTAACTTTTTGACCATGCCAAACTAATTTATTCTGTTTGCTTAAATGAAGATTTGGCAATCTTCATAGCTTTGGTACACATATGGATTATAAAACATGACTCAATTATAAGACTGCTTAAAAAAACCCAACTTTTAAAGCAATGACACATGCCACAAGTGAAAAATTTCACACCATGAAACTTTGTTTCAGGCACAAAATTATTAAAAATACTATATAATAACTTCAGCCTGTATAGGTATATATGAAATATAAATGAATTTTGTTTAGATGTATCAGCAAGATACTCATTATCCATATGCAAATATTTGAACATCTGAAAATACTCTAGTTCCAAACGTTTTGAATAAGAGATACTCAAACTGTATTACCAAGACAAATGGGCTCTACATATCACAATATAAAAATAAATGATTTTAATAATAATGGATAATAAAAATCTATGCCCTATTTCTCACATACAGAATATAATTTGTAAGATATAGTAAAACATTGTTCAGTAAATTTAATAGGGCAGACTTCTGAAGGACAGAGGTACTTGTAGCCTAAAAAGAGTTTTTTATTAGTATGCACAACAATTAAATAGCAGGAATGAAGTTTAATACACTAACTTTTTTTCATAAGAACAAACTATTTAAGTCCTTCTATTATGGTTCATTTTCTTCACCAAATTTAAATTTTGATAATTTAGAACTAATAAAGATCTTATTAAACCAATTTATCAATGTAAGAGTAAGGTTATTACTACTCACAGCAACTCTACAAAGTAAGAGATTTGACAATCTCTTTACTCTTGGGCAAGAGTTTTCAATTAAGACCATAAATGAATTGGTAGAAAGACACTATGTATATCAGCCTGGCAACATTACCCAAGTTTTTCACTGCAAAAAAAAAACAATGCTTAAAAGTGGTATTAGATATTTAGACATTTTCAGTTATAACCCCAACTCAAATGAAAGATTTTTCTTTTTTTAAAAGATTTTTATTGCTGAGGTCTCATGAAAGGAATACATAAGCTGCTTTTTCTCAGTACTAGCATATTTTGCCTATTACATACTGTATAAGAATAATACTTGTGAATTCATATAGTTTATACTGGTATAGTAAGGAGTACAATCAATTAGAATTTTTAAAAAGCTGCTAAAAATTGGCCAAAGGCTTATTTATAACCCATAGGGGTTAGTCAAGCCACACTTTTTGCAGAAATCTGCATTACTGCTGCTTTCAACTCAGATGATTACCACAATCTAAACACACCTGGTAGGCAGAGAGTTTCAGCCCTATTAATATAGGTGGGGAGTAGTTCAGTGGTAGAATACATTTTGTGCACAGAGTCTCTGGCTTCGATCCCTAGCACCAAAAACAAAAGTCCAAACCGAACTAAACCAAACCAAACACCGACCAAAAAAAAAAAAATCCACTAAAACTGCACAAGTTTATTTTCCTACTCCTCTATTTCTTCCTCCTTTCCTGTCCACTTGCCAACTTGCTAACATTTATGGCAATGAAAGGGAAACAAATGCCTAATAATGTTAAATGTTTACTGGGGGGGGGTCAATGAGTAATATCTACTAAAAAGATTTTTTAAGGAATACATTTAGTTATTTTAAACTGTAGATTAATTTGTTTATATTTATTAATAGGAATAGAAAAACATTTAATTAGTACCACTTGCAGTAGGCAACAGACTCAAGTTCTTTTCTCTCTCTTTTTTTTTTGGTACCGGGAATCGAACTTGGGACCTTGCGCTTGCGAGGCAGGCGGCGGAACCACTGGGCTAAATACCCGGCCCTCTTTTCTCTCTTTAACAAGTGAAAAGATGAGTGGAGACTGAGCATAAGAGGAGGTTGAAATAAATTAAGGGAAGGAGACCAGATTTTAGCTACACAAAGCTATCAGAGTAGTTTTAGAAATAATTCTAGTTATCATATATTAAAAAATAATTCATATTTAACTTAAAAGCATCAAAATTTAGTACTTGAATGTAATTTTTAACATGTTTCCACCAGCTTGAACCAGCAGTGGTACATATATGACCGTCCCATTGGGCAGCTTATTCCACTGGTGGCACAAATGGATCTAATCACTTTTATCGGTCTTTTTACAAAGTTAATAAAATGCTGCCAGATAGGACAGTCATGCATGTACCACTGGTGGTTCAAGCCACCCAGCAACAAGACATAACAATTATAGGTCCTTTGTGAATGTGTTAAAATAACATAAAGAAATGGAATTACAGTAGGCTATCTCTTCAACATTCAAACAGGAAAATGTATTAAATACATTTAATAATACAAAGAAATTTATTAAATACAAAAGTAATTTAAAAAAAGCTATACATGTTCATTTGGAAAAGTTACAAGATAAAGGTAAGAAGGGAAAATCTGAACTTCCACAATTTTTATATTCACTTTTCTTGTGCAACAGCTTACATAAGATAGGGGAAGAAAATACATGCATTAATTTCCCAAGACGGTTTACTAGTAAATGGTTATACTACTCTACTAGTTAATGGCTACCAGCCCCAGGTCAACCTCTAATTAATGCAATCTTAGGCAAGTTA